CGAGATCAATTTTAAATGATTTCAAGGCAACATAACAAGCTGAAATATGTTTCAGTTAAACAGCTGCTCAGCTCTGGAAGGCACCTTCCTTAGTACAACACTTTTGTAGTTTTAGCAGATACTTACCCAAGAATATGGGTTGTTAGCTGGCATAAAAATCTTGCAAGAATGCTTCATTGGGAACCTACAATTAGGTGAGAGAAAGCTTTACATTATAACGGTCTGAAAACTGAAGACTTCAGGTTTGGTATTGGAGATCAAACTTTTCGGCAAGCCCTGAATCCATTGTGATGATGTGAACCAGACATGACATCGCCCATTGTGATTATATAAACAAAGAGAACGTCATTTTTGTTATACAAATCTCAAGACTAAACCATAGGCGCAGGCATTACCCCTAAATCCATATTGCAAAGGAAACTCTTAATAAAAACTTGTCTGTTTTCCATAATACAAGGAAAGTAGAAACTTAATAACAACCAAAGATGAAACAATGGTTTCTCATACTTAACAAGGAATCTCAACAACATTAGAATGTGCTTGAAAGTCATACAAGTAAATTTAACTGACATCGAGCACTAGGCAGACAATTGCGACGATGTGATGCGAGAACCAGGAAGATACAAGGGATTCAGAAGAATCTGCAGCAATAGAGATTGTGAGTGCTACTACGGTGCAACCAAATCAAGACATAGACAACAACTACAAATCTATCAAAATCAATATATATATATAGTTACTTACATAGCACTTGTAGTCCATGCTAAGTGTTGGATGACGTCTAACGCAGCATGTAATATAAACTGGTGTAACTGAGCAAATGGTGTGATGTGCGACTTACTTTAGAATGTAAAGATCAGCCCAAGAAAACAGTGAAACTTCCAGTTATTAAAAAAAAAAAAAGTAAGTAAGTAGTAAAAAAAACTGGAAAGGATTACAGATTCATTTTTACTTTAGCAGCAGAGCCAACTTCAGCTTCATAGATGGGAATATCATTCCGAGCCACAATCATAAATCAAGCTGTGTTTGCATTCTCAAAATCCCCTAACTATATTCAATCTTGTTTCTGTTTCCTGTAACACAGTAAAAAAAACACAATTTTCAGTATTGTTCTGTCTTTTAAAAAAGCATGCATCCACCACTTAAGACACCAAAGAGCTCAGTTCCCGATGTGAACATGGAAAATATAATGATCCAAATGAATCAACGAGAAATAGAGAAAGTCTCGAGAAAGAACATAGAATCATGCTTCGTTTCCGAAACCATCCACGCATAGTCCAAACCACGAGCCTTAACGTTCATGGTGGGACGCACCGCTCTTATGATCTTACAAGGACTCGAAGTTCTTCACTCAAGGCTACGTTCACTTTGATCTCAAGCCTGCCAACGTTCTTATCTTCCCTACCGAGACTTTCGGAGAGCCGTGGGATTTAAAACTTGCTGATTTCGGTTTATCCAAGGAATACGGATTTGTGTGGTGGTACGCCGCAGCACATGCCTCCTGAGGTCCAAAGAAGATGAGAGATTTTTACACGTGGAGGGTTGCCTAATGACTTCTTGAGTAAATGCATGGAGGTGCTGCCCTCGCGTAGAGCAACCGCTAAAGATCTGTTGAAACATCATTTTGTTGCGCCACTTAAATCGTGAGAATTCCACCACGACCAGATCAGATGCTTCAGTACTGCCCTCCTTGGGTCGTAAGGTATGCTAGAAGACAAGGAGGACCGATGATGATGAAGATGGATCCACCAAGACCTGGAGATTTGATCTGCTGAGATCAATCAAGCACTGAAAAAAGAGAGGATCTAAGGTTTCGGTTGTTAAAGAGTCGTGTATAGGTTTCAGTTGAATCCTTGTCTTAACTAGCTGCATAACCCCCGCGCAAGCGCGAGGCCGGGATCTGTGTTTTTTTTTGTTGTTGGTTTAGTGGGTTATTCTAATAATACCAAATAATGATGAAATGGAAAGAATGTAGCAAGAGTGCAAAGTGAAAATATTGTATATATAATGTGTTAAATGTTATTTATATGCGAAATAAGGTTTATAGGAATAACTAAATTATAATATAGTTTTTAGTGTATAAAAATAGATGTCTATATTGTTTTTTATGTTG